AGCTAGCTCCAGCATCTTTCATTGTAGAAAGCTGTGAGATTTTGAAATCCGGTCTCCCAAATGCGAGGCTGAAGTGTTACAACTCTGCCACCCACTTGATTACTTATACTCTACCCCTATCTTATAAGTTAAGATCAGTTGTTTTGCAATTGAGGGCAGATGGTGTTCTTGACTGCGTACAATTTACACCGAGCACCAAACAGTCTGGCCTTTTTTTTTTTTTTTTGTGATGGCATTAAAATAGAAATTAAATCTGTCTTGACGTCTTTGGCTGTAGCATCAGATTTTTTGTACAGTTATTATTGTTATTTCAGTTTTCTGGCTTAAGCGCAAGACACGAGCAGACCACTAGAACGAAATTCTAATTTTTAAATTATTCACGTGGAAAACAATTTATTGTTAAGATACTTAACAATGAATTATTTGCCGACATCGACATTTCTATTGTCAGGTACTTCAAGATTTAATTTTTTGCCCTAACTTTTAATTAAATCAAGGAATGTGAGATTGGTAGAGCATGTAGTACGAATGTGAAGTATGAAATGCGTACAGTATTTTAGTTGGGATACCCAAATTGAAGAACAGCACTTGGACATTATAGGTGTTCACTGGAGGGTAAAGAAATGGGGTTGAATGATGTGAAGTGTATTTGACTTGGGATAGGGACTGGTCAACAGTACGATAGACGTGATACGCGTCAAAAGGTTGGTCGTTTCTTGATTGACAGCAAACTATCAAGAAGGATTAATGTCGGTCGGTTGGTTAGCTGCACCGGCAAGTTATTTTAAAATGTCTTGTTCTGCTACATCTGTCAGATACGCCGTGCGCCAGACATACATTTCATAAACTCCTCTTCCCTGGTTTTAGAAGTTTTAATGTCTGTGCTGAACTGATAAAGTATCAGAGATGAATGTTGTGTTAATGACTGCTCATATCTTAAATCCTTTTCAGTTACTAAAATTGCAGGGAAAAGTGTTTAATTTTAAGTTAGTTTTATTTACTTATACTACATAATACTTACAGTAAGTTTATGAAACAAGTTTTCGTAAATATGATTATTTTTCACAAATTCTCTTCATCATTGTTTCACGCTAGAAAATTATGTAGCAATACTGAATTTTGTTGTGGATTTCCTGTGTATTTGAAGATAGTGCAGATTGTTGTTGTTAAGTAGGCTTTGGCTCTCAGAGAGCTGTTACGCCACGGATTATTTATTATAAAAGTAAGAGTGTTCATTAGTGTGTAATTTTATTTAGCCAGTGTTCTGGAAGCGGTGTATTGCAGGCGTAGTCCACGCATAATGTCTTTTGTTAGATTTACAGTTTAAGTATCCCTTGGGATAATCTCTAGTGCGTTCTGGTGAAACATACAGAGTTTAGTCCACCATGTTACTGGTTCGCCAGAAGCCATGTTACATTTGGTAGTGCCAATACATTATTCACATTTATCATTCAGTTTGGAGATGTGTGATTAGCTTGTTGACGTGTTGTATGGGGACGTGCAGGTGCCCCAGGAGTTCTGGCGTCGCCATTCGCTGCGATGCACGGCCTTGGCTCGCCACTCACGTCACCGTACGGAAATTCGGCAGTTGGCGGAATGGGAGGTACGCATTATAATACCCTCTTCTGTTCTCTTTTCTTCTCTTCTCTTCAATCTCTGCCGCCCTGTGCTCTGATACTCTTCGATGCATGGACGTGCATTTATTGGGTTCTGTGTAGTTTACCTTGATTTTCATTTATTTATTACAGTTTTGTCACACGCATCAGCTGTATTGAAATCATTGCCAGCGTCGTTATGGGGATGTGTCAAAATTGTAATATGTGAATGTTAAAAAAGAACACATAGAATTTGATTAATTTTGAGTGACATCTGTTGTATTGGAAAGCGCAAGTCTTTCTTCTGTTGATGTCTTCTTTATTCAACTCTCTTTGACCTGTATGGGTTTCATTTTTGTGTCTAACGCGTATTATTTGTTGTTTGCGTCCTCTGAAGAATAATCTTATTGGTGTTGGTGACTTATTTCTTTATTCACAAACAGTCAATAACTGCTGTATGGTTGCTAGGGACCTTACCAATAATAAACGTAACAAAATACATTATTTTGATGTTCAGCTTCTGATTGCGTTCATTATAATAAATTGTTTATTTCACTTTTAATGTATTTGAAGCTTATTGCATGGTATTTTAATTATATTCTGTTGTATGAACGTCACTTGGTGCTAGATTGAAATCAGTCCATTAAAATTAATCTAGATTTCCGTCTTCTGGGTTGTTGCGCTGTGTAGTCTGGTCGATGTCTTCTGGGTTGTGGCACCATGCAGTGTGGTAGAAGTTTACCAACTTTGCTTATCACACTGATGACGGAGGCAGCAAGAACCTCTGAAACATTGGTAAATTTATACCAGGCTATCAAGTGATACATCCCAGAAGATAGCCATTTAGTGACCTGGTGTTTGGCTTCTATGCTGTGGAAGATACGGTCCAATCGAATTTTAAGATATTGAAAGATTTCTCTGTAACTTGGCTGATGAAATTTGATCCTACAGAGGCTGTGGACCGGTGATTGGCTACTTTAGTTTCAAACTACAAGATATGTGCGGCCACAAGAAGTCCGATCATATGCAGTGGAAGTGAACCTAGCCTATAGCTCATTCATTGTTTAAAATCAGAAATCTTATATTTGTAACATGAATGTTCGCAAATTTCTGATCATTGCTTTGGTTAGTTGATCAGAGATTTAACTTTAGTCTTTGCGAATAGCACCGTAATATTCTTGTTGTATTGAGTAGAGGGTTTTGGGAAATGGATTTTTCTTTGTAGATTTAATAGTATGACAAAAGTTGTGTAGCAGTGGCGAATCATTAGGCGCAAGGGAGCCTGAAATCTTCTTGTGTTTTGTATGATAATTTAAACACCTTCGCGTAATATTTTAGGCGGAAGACGTAGACAATTAAAATTGAAGATAATTGCCTTCTCGGATGTTGCACTGTGTAGCCTGGTAGATGCCTTCATGGTAATGTCCTGATGATGGAGGTAGTAAGCTCCTTCGGAATGTTGGTTGTTGTCTACGAGACTACACTGTGTAATAGCTAGAAGACTTACATTTTCCTGCTCGCTACTTTGAGGACCGTCTTACAAAATTACAATTATTTTATGATTTTTTTTTAATTCCCAACACCAAATTTTATAGAAATAATATTTATGTTCTCGAGTTCCTTAATCTCTATGGATAGGCAGGCGGATTGAGTGGTTTTAATAGGTGCTCTGCAAGGTTGTCATTGTCTATGAACTAGACTAGGCAGTGTTGAGTGGTCACTTGTTCTTCAAATGACCGAGTTCGGTGTTGCTTAGCCTGCCTGTGGCAGTGACTGACTCGAGTAGTTTCGCTGTCTTGTTGTTGATCTGGTTCAATGTTCGTATTTATTTCTAGGCTTTGTACGTCCCATGTTTTCATCTGAGGATGGACACAGATCCAGTCCAGAAATCAGTGACACTTATATAGTGTAATCATAAGAAGTACAATATTACTTAACATGGAATTTGGAAAGAATTGTCTGAATTATTCAGATTTGTTTTATAACGGCCTTCTGTCACTTATATCTGCCCATAATGATGGGAACGTCAGAATTTTGTGTATGGTTGTTTGATCACGAAAACTTCCGTTGCGTTCGGTCACCACGAGAACTTCATACTTTAAATATTATATGTCGTGTCAGACTTGGAATGGAACAGCGGCAAAATAAAAAAAGTGTTTATCGTCGGTTAATTCCGAGTGCTTGACGCTGTATTTCTGCGGCAGGGATGCCACTAGCAGGCTTCCAGATGCCTGGTGCAGCAGCAACCACAGCCCTCAGTGCGGCAGGGATTCGCCTGGCTGGAACAATGGGCTCGACAGGCTGCGTTCTCTTGGTCAGCAACCTTAATGAGGAGGTACGTAAGCTCTTGTGATTGCTTTCCACAGCCTGTAATCCTACAACACCTTACACTACAAAAATTAAAAAATATTACATTTCTTCTACAAGGGAGATTTAAGAAGTATCTGCAATGTTGGAATATTTTGTTTGCAACAGTGGCAACACTGCTGAGTCCTTGTCATACTATGTAGCATGTTGCTTGTCCTTGGTGCAGACCTGTGGTAGAACAGCCACCTTTACACCATGCTTACGTAGCACAGAATGGACTACAACTGAACCACACTTGCAGCATGCCATTTGACCTTGAGCTGCAGTATGACCAGCCTCAGGAGTGTTGCTGTTTATACAATAAAAATATTTATTATTGTTGATACTTTTTTATCTTTATTGTATTTATACTGAATGCAAACAATCCATTGCCTTGTACATTTCGTATTTAACGTAATTTTCGAAGTAAAAATATTTTGTTTTGCTTTATTATTTTACAAAAGGTAGTTGTGATTTAATTTTTCATCGTCGTCTTGTAGTGAATGTATACCGGGCGTGATAGTGCCGGGGTTGTTCCTCACTGCTTCGGTGCAGATATTTAATTTTAGGATGGTTAACGAGAACAGTATGGTAGCCAGCCTTACAGGGATGGTCAGGTTATTCGGCCGTCTCCGTCTGATTTGAATACTGACTGAAAGATTTTTATAGGCAAATCAAAGTGAAAATTTGCAGGGAACTGTTTTAAACCTCCGACATCTGCATACGTACAGTGTTATTATAAATGAAGCATACAGTTTCAAAGAGTTATTTTTTAACAAACTGGTAGTCCTACAAAATTCGAATTAGTATCTATGGAAATATTACTCGGTTCATTGCCATTTATTTTTCTCTCTCCTCATTTTTTCTGATGCTGAACAAGGTTAGGAATTATGGAAACATTCAAGCCATAATTTTCCGTAATTTCGTAAGGGTTTTGTGTTGTATTGGTGCAATGGCTTCACAAATTTAAGTCATCTAATTTTGTCGTTAAGGGTGGAACACAAGACATTTTTTTTAACCTTTATTGCATGGGGAGGGGGGATATAAACCCTGTATTAAGTGGCCAGCTTCATCATATGTAATCTGTGTCATATGGATGTTAAAAGTTAACATAACCCCATAAAATGTCCATAGAAAATTGATTATGGCTTCCGTAGTCAGACAGGACCTGTTGTTTCAAACTTATCACATCAAATCGCATAAAATAAACCGAGTTTTTTTTCCAGTTGATGCTAATATAATTTTTGTAGGGCAAACTTAAAAACACAATTTTAAAAGTGTGTACTTAATTCTGTATATTTAAATCACAGTCTAATGACACTAAATATTTTTTTGTATTCAAATTGTCTCTCTCCTTTTAGTAACTATTTTTTTTCAGAACGTGTCTTATCTTGCTCTGGAGTTTATCATAGGCGCAGAACTTCCCTGCATAATCCAAAATTTATGACTCCTTGTGGTCTTTGCATTTAAAAGTGTTGAAAGACTGGATAACATATAATGCTCTCCTCTTTTTTTCCTTCTCACCTTTTGCTTATAAAAGCTGACTATACCGTGTATTTACCTTTCAGTTACCCGTCAGGAAATAAGAAACATTCTATTTGTAATTTTATACCTTCGTGTGAAATGAAGTTTTCCGCCATGTAATACCATATAGTGATGATTTATGATTCAAATAATGCATCTTAATTATTTATAGCCATGCATATGAATAATATTTTTCCTCGCAAGTATAAAGCTTTACGTACATTCTTCGTGTCTTATTTTATATACTTTTTGACCATAGTTACTACAGAATTAATTTGAAATGTTAAAACCTCGTTCAAAAATGAGAATGACTTTTCTGACCGTTTACTGTAACCACGAGTGTCGTAACCAAAACTTCGCGGTTTTAGATATTTGTAACTACGTGTTTAAATTACATTATTTCGGACTGTACTGGATCTGTACGTTGCTACATTTTGAGGGATTTTATCAATGTTTTACCATTCAAACATATTTCCCTCAGAAGCTGTCTTGTTGAGTAACCTGCCTCTTCTAATAGGGGTCTGTTCAATTTAAAACAAAATTTAAGTGTGAGTTCAGCCTATAAACGTTTTGGGGGAAGTTATTTGAATTTGGTGGTTCTTCTGAATTATTTGTATAATAATCCCGAGATTGAAGATGGACTGTGCATTTGTTTCTGCATTCTGATTTCTTGTGGCTTGGCTTGCTTTATACTGCAACTCTGTGTATATGTGACCTTTCAGTATTAGAGTTAACCTTTAAATCTGAACACATAAAGTCGTAATTCAAACGCGACTGAAAATTAAAGGCAATCTCATTTTAAAATTTTGACAAAATATTTACGCAACGATCAGGCGCATCTGATATTTCAGTGTAATCGCCCAACTCTTCGGTGCACTTGGTCTAATATCATGAGGTACGAGGGTCGCTCATTAAGTAATGCCCCACATTTTTTTCCTCAGAACATATTTATTCAAGATGGCTCAAATTTAGTGACAATATAAATCAATGTTTCCTTTACACATACTATTTTTCCACATAGTCCCCATCAACTTGTACGGTTTTACGCCAGCGTGGAACAAGTGCATGCATGCCTTGCCGGTACCAGCTCTTGTCCTGTGCACGTAGCCATGTCCTCACTGCTTGAATCACGCTCTCGTCATCTTCAAATCTTGTTCCGCGGATAGCATCTTTAAGGGGCCCAAAGAGATGGAAGTCGGAGGGTGCCAGATCTGGACTGTAGGGGGGATGGGGTAGCACCGTCCAACCCAATTTGGTGATTTCTTCCCGGGTTCTCAGACTTGTGTGAGGGCGTGCATTGTCGTGCAGGAGCAAAATTTCTGCTGGATGCTTGTGAGGCCGAACTCGTCGAAAACGCTTCTTGAGGGTTTTCAGGGTCCTGATGTACGCGTCTGAATTGATGGTCGCACCTCTTGGCATCACATCCACAAGAATGACCCCATCACTGTCCCAAAAGACAGTCATCATGACTTTTCCGGCGGAGGGAGTTGACTTGAATTTCTTCTTTCTCGGTGATTGAGGATGATGCCACTCCATTGACTGCCTTTTTGTCTCTGGCTCAAAGTGGTGTATCCAGGTTTCGTCACCTGTAATGATCCGGGACAGAAAGACCTCTCCCTCAGCATCAAAACGCTCCAACAATTCAGAAGAAATCGTTTTCCTTTGAATCCTGTGGTCTGCTGTGAGACTTCGTGGAACCCATCTTGCGCACACCTTCGAATATGCGAGAGCCTGGATAATTGCAATCACACTTCCATTGCTGACTGAAAGCTGTTGGGCCAATTGTCGAGTTGTGATGCGCCGATCCTCACGAATAATGGCATCCGCGCGGTTCAACAGCCCAGAGCGCGGCAGATCACGGAGCTCGGTTTCTTCACTTCCTGAAGCTTTAACTCTCTTAGCCCAGCGACCAACGGTGCTCCTATCGACTGCACAGCTTCCATACACAGCCCACAAACGTTTATGAATGTTCACCACCGTTTCTTTTTCAGCAACAAAGAATTCAATTACAGCTCGTTGTTTGTAACGAGAGTCGTTCACAGACGCCATTTTAACAGTTCACTACAGCTCCGCTATCGGTTGGAATCATTTGAAACTCCGTACACGAACGCGGGAAACATCAAATCTCAAGCATGTAAAAGTACACTTTTCTATCTTCATTATTGGCTGAGAAAAAAAATGTGGGGCATTACTTAATGAGCGACCCTCGTATAATAGCGTCTTTTAATCTTTGCGATGAACCTTATGACCTTTTTCCGTGTTACAGAAGATTTTAATATCTAAAGATGTGGTACAAGGATACCAAAATAAACATCATCATCAATAACTGTACGCTTTAGGCCATTCTCCAGGACAAATATATAAATAAAAATTTATTTATGAATTATTGGATGTGCTTATGTGTGATATATGAGTTATAAAAAGTTACACGTAATGTTGAGACGAGAACGGTTTGTAAAATGAACGGCAACTGTCATGCTTGTGGCATATCGGATTTAGTCCCAAAAGTCACAGTTAATCATTTAACTGAGTAATGTCGTGAAATATGTGTCATTCTTGTACCCCCATTTAAATTGTGTTATATTAAAATATAATGTCTTAAACCACCCCCAATTGGTTAAATCTTAAAAAGACAGCTTTATGACGTTATGCAGTTGGCTTAACTGTGATGTTAAACGTTCATGATTGTTATAATTCATTGATTAATTGGTGGATGGGTAGGTTGCCACTCATTTAAATTTTAATCCTTTCCAGTCGTAACGCTGTCAGAATTCTCTACAGCCAGGATGTCTAGGGGACTTAACGTAGTCTGAACTACTGAATTTTGTAATACAAAATACACATTTGTTTCCAAAAATATTTTAATTATTTTTACAAACTTGTAGCAGATTCCGTACGTGGCATTCATTCGTTCATTAATTTGTATGCAGCGGCCAGTAACGATTTGATCGACAGTGGTCAGAAAAATTCGAAAACAAATTCTGCCAGACATACGACTTATTGTATTGATTATATGGCGCGGTATGATGGAAGAGGGTTGATATTATGTTGTAACATTGCCCTCGTAGTTATATAAACTAGAATCTTTGTTTTTTTGTTTTTTTTTCTTTAATTCATATGGTCATGGCTGGTTTACCAAATCTGTTATTAGCTTTCAGTACATTTTTCATTGTACTGCAGTTCCTCTGCACCTTGTCCATGTGATCACCCATTTTCTTGATGACTTGTTTTATGTGTAGTAAATCTTCATTGATAGCATGTTGTTTTCCTCGTCACATATCATAACCCTCATTACATTCCCCTAATGAAAAGTGAACGGTGGTAACTTGAGTGTTACAGGTACCGCAGAATGTAGAATACAATTACGATATCTTACACCCAGAACTGGGAGTGTGAAAATCAGTACGCATCATTGTTTACCTTCTTGTTACAGGTACGGAGTTACCAAAATAATGAGAAAAGCCAGGGTGTGAGCAGAATAAATATAAGGAATTGGAAAGTTATTTTTGAAATGACAAAAGAATAGGCTTGTCACGCTATTTCGAATATTGTGTCCCCTTAAAATTAGCTCAGTCTCTGTGTGTGAAATTGTATGGAAACATGATTCATAAATCTACAAAACATTTTTTTTTACAGTCAGCTATATTTTTTGAGAGATTTCAGTTCTCATTAATTATATTTTTACATTTCTGTGCGTGTGATTTTAAAGTTCTTTGATACCTCTTTTGTTCCCAGATGAACCAATCTGTATGTTGTAACGTCTGAAATCTGAGTATGCTGTGCTATGAGAGTGTAATGTGTCATGTCTTGCAAAAAGTTATATATTAAAATTGCTTTCATTGAATTGAATGATGAGATGTGTTTGGAAAACATTTCCGTACACGAGTATGGATTGGTGAATGTTTGGCCTCTCGCTCGTTTGAATATTGGCATGTAACCAGAAACCAGATTATGGTTGCGTGTGAAAAGACGGGGGAAAAAATTTACTGTCGCTTATTTCTATTAATTCAGTGGAAGATGTGCAGTTCTTTGTGGCAGAAATGCAAACCACTCTCTTAAGCGGCCCATCCACGTACGAGTCTGACTTTGCGAGTCTGGCTCGGTGAGCTTGACTCGTGAGCCGGGCTCGGATATATTTCACCACACATGCATAGCATTACACCCCACCCACAAACGAGTTTGGCTCAGTGGAACCCGAGCCGAGCCAGACTCGTACGTGGATGGACCGCTTTATAGGATGTGGTATATGCACCATTTCTCAGAAAAAGTGAACCATATTTGTAACTTTCAAGTCACAGCACTTTTCTTGGGAAATGAAATAGAATGTGGTAGTTTTCCTATGATACCAATTATGATTTTCATACAATCTCAATTTTTAGCTCCTTACCTGAGTGATGTAAGAATCAGTGTCCTAAGGAAGCCATTGCTTGACTGTTCTGAACACCCTTAACAGAACAGAATGGGACAGTCTTCCGTGTTACATATCATTCAGTGTCATTCTGTTTTCCCGTCTTCAAGCATATCATAATAATTTATAATTTTCTCAGATCTCTTTTTGTTCTCTTTTTTTCCAAACAAATCTTCTCCGCCTGAACTGACATGTGTGGTGCGGTCTGTGCCTCCCTCTGCCCCGGACTCAACTACAAAATATACAAAAAATTCCCACTGCTCTTCAACTCTGTGAACAATCTACGCAAAAAAACTACTTCTACTCTCTCTCGCTCCGTAGATGGTCACACCTGATGCTCTTTTTACCCTGTTTGGTACGTTATGCACAGATCTTTTTTATTATTATTACTATTAATATTACTTTATGTAAAATATTATTTCATTGATATATTTTTTTTATTTTTAATACATTTGTGGCTAGTTTTTTTTCTCCAGTGTTTTTGTTATGGTGGTTTTTGTCGAAATTTCAGTGTTTTTATTACTGAAGTAAAATTAAATGTTTTTTCACACGTGGAATTCGTTTTATAATTGCATGTATTTTTTAACAATTTTATTGATTTTTTTTGTGTAAAAAGAAAAATATTTTGGAAAAAACATCTTGGTTTTCAAAATTTGATATAGAATCAAGAATTTAAATGCAAGTAACTGTCACCTTCTTTAGAGGTGATATAGCAGTTTTAAGTTTTTCTGTTTCATTTTCTTTAATTTGAATATAATAATATATTAAAATTTAGTGAAATAATGTCTCTTACATTTCAAGTTTCATTCTTTATATAACTTCTTTTATTGCAGAAATTAAAAATATTTAACTTTAGCCAAAACTTCTGTTTCTCATTTCTAGTAATGCTTTTGCTTTTGATATAAACCCATTAATTAATTAATTTTCAAAATTCATTTTTCCTTTTTACTGGCTTGTCCATGTGGTATTCTGTTTTCTAAGTCCAAACTTTTGCTTGTAGTTTTATAACTTGTTGTGGTGTGTTTTCACATTTTCACCCCCCTCCAATTTTTTTTCAGTCACGTTTATTTATTTATGAGTATTTTTGGTGTATTTGAATACTTACGTGTGTTTTTTTTTCAGCTGTATTTTTGTTATATTTTGTAGTAGTGATGTGTTTTGTGTAGAACATGCAACACACTTAGACACTTTTGCACAAAGTCATTTTAAAAGTTTTATTAATGTGTTTGTGTCTTGTGTGTGTTAGTGTGTGTGTGCGCACGCACGCGCCCCTTCAAGCATTTATGTTATTCCAAATATTCTTTTCTCTGACTCCTGCAAGAAGAAAGCTGTTGTCAGTTCAAGTAATGCATAAATACTGAAGGGTCTACCAAGGAATTTTACAATACCCGCATCCGCCGTGCGTCCTTTGTACAGAAACGTGCGTAATTTGCTCGTACGTTTTGCATCCACAGTGCTTATTTCGGGCTGCTTTATCTGAAAATTTTGAGAAACAGTTTCACAACCTTTCTCCTCCTGCTTCAGGTCTTTCTTTGTGTTCATGAAATTACTTTCTTTTTTTTTTCTTACTTCACTTGTGTTCAAAAATTGTCTTTGGAGAATAGTGTCAGATTATATGCATGTGATATTGCTATATCTGGAAAGGTTTAATTTATTTGATAGCCTGTCATATAACTTTGAGAGAATTACGTCGGTTAATAGAATAATGACTGTTTAGCATGCATATATGTAGCCAGAGCCCCCCCAAAAGAGTAAATTATGTTATAAAATACAGTTTGGTTCTTATGTTTGTGTTTAGTGTGATGCGAGAGACGAGGGATATAAACGAGTAGTACAAATTATAGTTTTTGATATAATTTACAACAGCTTTCTTTTGAATATAACAGAACATGGGCGTCCCTAAATAGGTGCAGTGACTGAAGTATAGGGAGTAATTATTTATTAATGTTATTTGTTGGAATTCCTTCAGGTACAAGAAATTTGCTTGTACCTCGCATGTTATTTGTCTTATACAGTACAGTTATCCAGTAATGTCACTGTAGCTCATCGTTACAAATTCATATCTCAAACCAAAGAGGGTACTACGAAAGTCAATATTTGTTATAAACTTCGTCAGCTGTTTGCCATGTCTTACTCGTGATCCGTCTGGGTCATGCTCTGCAGTACCTTACCATTAAACCGTTAAAATCGCAAGGTTAAAGTCCGGCGGGCGGCCCCATCGTACAGAGGTTTAAATCCCCTGTTACCATAAAATAAAGGTTATGTTACATTTTTGAAAAATATATTTGGATTTTTGCTGGTTGCGATGCCCCAAAAACCTAACGAAGCATTTCACAAGTAAGCAGTCGTTGTTCAATTCCATCTGAATGTTTGTGTGTTGGTATGCTATATTTTATGGATGCTTGAGTGACCAATCGTCAGTATGGCAATTTAAGTTGATTTGACTGTGTGTGTGTGTTGCGTTTTAAAAGTTTCGTTGGACGTGATTACATAATGTATTTTAGCATTTCATCAGTTTTTACTTTGTAGAAATCAAGAACTGATACAGATGGCTGAAAATGCTGAAATGGTTTGTTGAAACTTGTTCAAATTTCTTAACTTGTTTCTGTCCCGATAGCACCTTTTTAAAGTTGTGCTTATCGGTTAACGTAAAATCAACAGTTCTTTTTCAGATCAGTGGACTTGATACATCCACCGACACTTATGTATTTTGCTTGTCAAATTCAGGTTAAGGGGGCATAAGTTAAAAAATGATAACCAAAGTTTGATCGCTGCATTACGGTCCTTGTTTTATATTACATGTATTTAACAAAACTATCGCTTTATGTTTATGTGTAAATTGTATAATCATACTTACATTTTTTTTGAAAAAAAAAATCAGTGACCTTTATTTGTGAGAATGTTTTGAAAACTTTTAGGTGTTACATCCTTTTACCCAGGCACCACAAAATTTTCTGTTGTAATTTCTCGGTACTTTGGTATGTTCCAAGTCGGAGTTCGGGAAGATGAGATGTGAATTTCTCCGAGGCCTGTCTCGAATGCAGTCGACTTCCATTAGTCCTTTAAGAAATGTGCTGAATTGAAATGTTTATATTAGTATTTAATACTTGAATACTTCTTTTGCCATTTTAAAATTCACATTGCTTACAACTCTAAAGGAGAACACTGATCTAAATAATATTTTAAAACGCTGTTATCACTGTCAAGAGAGTGTTAATTATTTTAGTAATACACAAAACTGTAATGTGTATTTATTTTTTTATAACGAGTAAGCTTTCAGCATTTAACGTGTTTGATTAAATAAGTATCAGTTCTTGTTTCAGGTGTAATGTAAAGGAGTAACTTGCTCACAAGTTACTCTGTAAGAATATATTGAAACTAATGTATTAGTGTTATGGTAATAATTTCAAGTACGCCACATTTATTCTACAGCTGCAGAACATTCGTAATTTATCAGTTAAGTTTTAATGTTCTGGAAAATATTGATTCTATAAGAAGGTGGTGTTGAATTTTGATGGGATACTTTTCTTTGTCTCTTCTTGTGGTGGTTCTGCCGAGCCATACAACACTGCTTTTCCTCCTTATCCAGTTTTTCAGACACTTTTCGTTGGAGGACATCACATTTTGTTTTATTACGTTTCATGTTTTACTTTTTTTCATTCCTTGCAACGTCTATTAACGCAGTACTTTCCAGGCTAATTTAAAGGGAAGTGTATCCTTTACGCAAAGTTTCATCGCTGCTCGAGTTTTACCATTAAAATTTAAATTATTTATCATGTCGTTAAAATATATTATTTATGAAGTTGCACTTCTTCAGCAGGTATTTTCTATATAAAGTCTCTACGTTTTACCCCTGTCACTACAAAAAAAATTATCACATTTGCGAGGTCCCAGGTTCAAACCTTGGTCCAGAGATTGGATCTTGTGAGGTTTTTCTTGGTTTTCTTCCGTACCTACTTCTACATGCTTTCAGATTCCTCATTTGCTTGCTGTCGTCTCATACACTATTTAGTCTGAGCTGCTGACAGTACAAATTAATAATTACAGAATTAGATTCCTCTTTTGTGTCCCAAAATTAAACCCTTAATTCCACATAAATATTTTGCAGCAGTTTTGTGTCCAAATGTGGCTTACATTCAGTACTTTTTTTTAAATCCTTTGTGTGCCTTTAAATCGAGTGTGCTATGGTATGAGATTTGGTTTTCAGCATGAAATGTTCATTTTAAACTATAATTTCTACAGTTTTATTTTCAGCAACTGATATCGGGTAATTTTTCGTGTGCACTGCCCCACCATGTCTTGGCCACCGAAGAGCAGCATTAAGTCATATTTTGTAATTTCTTCTTGTGAAGACTCTAAGGTGTTTATTGAAAGGAACAAAGAACCAACCAAATCCTGACGTGAGAATCTTCCTTGAAAATTCAATATTTACAATTGGTTGCTTAGCTGATCAAGAAATATCATTTTATGAAAGATGAAGTTTCATTACATGTTCATAAAATCCAACCCTTGAGCCCTATATTTAGCTACTTCATTATATTTTAATATTATCCTTATATCTATGCCCGCATATCACAAGTGTTATTTTCTTGTGAGGTTTGTTGTTCAAAACAGAATAAATTTACTTTGGTTTAATTCTGGAAATTTTTAACTTTCGTTATACTCGCGCTTGGTTGAAAGTCTTTCCAGGATATAACACTTGAATGACTGTGTTCATAAGACATGTCGAAGTTGGTTTCTGTGTTTGAGTTGAACGTTGCTGTTTGCCAACAGGCGTATATGGAGATGTGCAGCGTGTGAAGATCCTGTACAACAAGAAAGATAGTGCATTGATCCAGATGTCGGAACCACACCAGGCACATCTCGGTAAGCACGCCCTCTCTCCTGAGCAATGCAACCGGTTTGTTGTTTTCCAGCGAAGGTGGCAATCATGAATAAGCAATTCTTGAACTTGTAAGACGCTGTTACCATATTTCCTTGGTTTTAAGATGCACCTATTTAAGAAATTTTAAAATGTACAAAAAGAAGTTTGACTTAAAATCAAGGAAATGCGGTATTAACAATTATAAAGTGCCAACATCTCTGCCAGTGTAATGCCAAGAATCGCAGGAACATGGAATTAGAGCTCGTCTTGTAAGATTTGTCAAATTATACAGTCGAAGTCTTCTGGAATGTTGCACCATGTAGTCTCTTAGAAATTTACTGACCTTTCGATGCACCATGTAGTCTCATAGAAATTTACTTACCTTTTGGGGGTGCGTACTGCTTCCTGTCATAAGGGTGATGAGCCAGTGATGACAGACAGTAAACACCTTTGAAACGTCGGTCAGTTTCAGTTCTGCGACATTACACATCTTAATACCCTAGAAGCTAGTCATATTCATGTTGTATTTTCTTTGCAGTAGGAACTGAATAAATATTAATTAGACAGGATTCAACTTCAGAGGTCCGCATTGGCCGCGCGGTCTGAGGCACGGGCCTCGTGCCGCTTGGTCACTGGGACCGTGGGTTCGAATCCCACTCAAGCCATGGATGTTTGTCGGCGTCTTTCTGTGTTGTGCTGTCCTGTGTACAGGTAGAGGCCTTGCGACGGGCCGATCCCTCATCCAAGGAGTCCTACCGAACGTCTATAGATCGAGCCAACGAAAAGTTGGGACCCGCAGTGTTCAGGCACTTGAAGAACGGGTCGTTCCCAGTATCCAGTATCAACTTCAGATTGATTAATGTCTATGTTTGCAAAGTTATCAGATGTGGTATGAAAGTTATCTTTGGTTTGTTTCTTAGCTATGACGCACATGGATAAGCTGAGAGTGTTTGGGAAACAGATCCGCGTGATGCCGTCTAAGCACCAGACAGTGCAGTTGCCCAAAGAGGGCCAACCCGACGCCGGGCTTACCAAGGACTATTCTAACTCGACCTTACATCGTTTCAAGAAGCCAGGCTCAAAGAATTACCAGAATATCTACCCTCCTTCTGCCACGCTCCATCTATCCAACATTCCGTAAGTCGATTGATTAGTTTGTAGTCTTTTATGTGTGCAGTGCGTTTGCCGATAAAGTTTATTACAAGTGTCACTTACTGGCACCTAGAAATAACTGCTGTAATAAAAGTAGGTTGATTTTATTGTTTTTATTAAACGGAATTTGTCTCGTATCAGAGAAGCCTTTTAGTGCTTAGCAGTGAGTTGTACGGTGCCAAGGTAATGTGTTTAGAAAGGTGGCGTGGCGTTGCGTTACAAAAACAGGTTACGTCAAGATGTTGCGTAGGAACTAAGGAAATTTACATTAAAATCAGATAACGGCATCAGAAGTTCCCAATCTAGGAATGTTTTGCGTCTTGTAACTGTTATTTACGAATATATTATCATATTTCTTGGTTAAAATCCAAATTGTCTGAAATTGATTTGTGTTGCATTTGTCACTTGCCATGTTAAAAAGGGCCCACAGATTCATAGAAGAGAAATGTAGGGACTGCATTTTTCAATCTGGCTAGATTGCTTAATTAACAGTAGTATCATAATATGTGATACACAATTTCCTGTAGTGTTCATAATGTTTCTGAATCTTACATGTGGGTATTAATCTGTATTTTCAGACCTTCTGTCTCTGAGGAGGAGATCAAGGATGCTTTTACAAAGAACGGGTTCCCAGTCAAGGCATTTAAGTTCTTTCCGTAAGTGTTCGTCTAAAGTTATTGTTACTGTTCTGCACTTAGTGCTAAGTATTTCCCTCAAAATGTATTTGCCGCAGTACTTCCTAGTTTATCACAGTATTTTCCTCACAACATAGCAATGTATATGTATGTATGGATTTCTTCATACATACTCGTTACACTGATAATGGGTCAGCATTTACTGTTGTTGTAAATTTCTTTGGTAATTTTGCAGTAAGGACAGAAAGATGGCCTTGATCCAGCTGCCAGCAATGGATGATGCCGTCTCAGCTCTTATAGTAAGTATGCGTTTACATACTGCAGTGTGCGTTCTTTCTTCTTTTTCTACGGCTCTCCGGTCCGTATTTGGTCCATGGCCTCCTCAATTCTCCTCTTCCATTCGGTCCTCTGTTAGGTCCGTCTGTCCGAGGCTTTGATCGAGGTTTTGAAACATCTTCCTTTTTTACGGTGCAAGGTTGTTAGCCTTGCGACCAACCCCCAACCTGGAGGACCAGGGTACCTGTCTTAGTCTGACCTCTCTCCCTCGACCAATCTGGCTAGGGAGGCCCTACCAGTAGCTATGCTGATACAATAAATCTCCAGTAACACTTTGGAACGAAACAGATGTTACGAAATATGGAACAGATCAGTAAGTCTGAAGATGGCTATCTTCTGGGTTGTAGCGCCGTGTAGTCTGGTAGAAGTTTGCCGATGTTTCAGGAGTCCTTGCTCTCTCCATCATCAGGGCAATAAGATATTTTGAAATCTGTATACTGTGTGCATCTTCGTATCACACCGTAGCCGAAACACTGCCTTTTCCATTGGCGGAAGTTTCTGTCCCTTTCACTGTTTGTACCTGTCACCGCCCTTTCAGACGTCTTTCGTACGCACGTTTTATACGTTGTCACAGTGCATGAATTATGTCGCAACTTTTTTGATGGTGAGTGAATTACATGATGGCATGAGATTTGAAATTTGTGTGGAGCGTGAATATTGACACAAGCTCAAAAACTGCTCACGCTCTTTAGCCTGTGCTTAACCTCAAAAATGGGAAATTGTAAGTGATATTTTGAATTTTTTTCTTGTTCGCAGAAGATGCACAATTATCAACTGAGTGAATCAAACCACTTACGAGTGTCGTTCTCGAAATCAAGCATCTAACCACCTCTCTGTCTCTTCCGTTCGCTGACTATAGAAGGAGGGAGGGTTCACAAGCCTGCTTCTTTCAAGACAGGATGAAACTGAACAATAACAACAAGAATCACGGTATCCCCAATAACTTTGTACCGCCGGACACAATGTTCTCTTTTGCGCTTTCATCAAATTCATTATGTATTGCATATCTATCAGGGACAACAAACATTTTGCTAATAATATATTGATCATATAAACATATACATCTATATACTTTTTAAAAGCAAAAGGATGGATGGATATATACCTATAGAATTAAAGTAAGATGTATTGATTTTTATAAAGACCAACGCCGATTAACGAATGTTTTACAGGTACGTTAATCTTCTGCTTCAGTATGTAATTAAATAAAATGGATGAGCTAGTTTCAGTGGATAGGTAGGGGCAAGCACATTTCTTGAAGAGACACTGCATGAATTGAAAGATAACGAGAGTGAAGATGGTTGGATGGAATTTTATAATTTGTGATCTTATCTAAATTTTCAAAGTTTCATTACATTATTTCATAGTATGTGACATTTTTGTTTTCCGTCTTCTGAGTTCACATCATTGCGATTTCCCCGACCCGTCAGTTGTTTGTGAATCTGAAACTTTTGGAACAGTTTGCGAGGTGCGAGCATTTTGAAGTGGCTTGAGGAAAATTTTTTTCTTTTGCCGCTCGCGGAGGAAAAGCCGAGCTTTACTTGACCTAACCGAGTGTGTTACGTGTCTCAGATTTCACAATTGCAAACTGACGATTTAATACGAGCTTGCATCATCTTAAGAAGTGTACAGGGTTTATCAGTAATCTCATTTTTATTGTCGGCAAGATTTGAGTATTAATTAGTCTGTGAATGTAAAGATGGAGAATGACAAGAAATGGAAATACGCAGGTATCGTTTACAGAGTGACAGGAAGTTAGAAACGAGACACAACCGAATTTGACAACACTGTGAACTAGAATGTAATAGTATCTTTTTATATAACTACAGCTAGAATTTATGTGAAAGACACTGCCAAGTGATTGGTTGTTGACGGCGCAGAACATGAAGAAAGAAACGCACACTTGACCAGCCACAGCAGAACTTTGGTAGCGATGAACAAATCACTTGGTAATCATTGTTAGATTAGCAGAATGTAGATTATAATTATATTAATTAAGTTTAAAAATCATCAGTAGCTCTGTTTCCAAAAAATATGGAAATGGGGGAATTGGCTAACACATATCGAACGCATTGATTTTATTCCTCATTTTTACATTCAATTAAAGAGAGTAATTTGTTGTGGTTAAAATGATACCATTGCCACGTAGTGACGTGAATACATCGTCAGCCGTATAGTTTGTTCTACCTGCTGAGAAGTAATTTCGTAGTTCCGCGCTACGTGCGCGTAGTTCGGTCTCTTCTTTTTGTATGATTCGTCAGTAGTTTGTTACAAAATGCTAGACACACAAAAGAAAAACCTTTCGTGTTTGAACATTTAGGGAATCGCACAGAAAAATTAATAAAGTTGTGGAAGCAAATGTTTATACATACATTTGCCTTTGATGAGTATTACCACACACACAAAAAAAAATGTTTTTAATGTGCTATTTTTGGAACAAGAAGATATTTAGAAGTTCATATATTATACTATATGATGCCGTAACTTTGATTCACATGCCCCAGTTTGTCGAACCAGTTTTGGATATATATATTTTTGCATTTGTTCAATCCTATATAGAGAGCAATTGATAAAAATAATATAAACAGAATTATCTTAATAAATGTTGTGTATTTGAAATTAAGGCAGGTATGACAGAATGAGAGGTGAAAATGCGAGATGCGGTATGTTGTGTGGCTCGGGTAAATGGTATTTTCTTTAAGATACAGAGACATGTTTGTGACATAGGATACAAGAGTATTATTTTTACTTTGTATTACTTAACAGAGGGGAGACACGCGTTTAAGATTCTTTATCCCGTTTTCTTGTGTCAAACCATTCCAAGACTTGGCTTAGAGTCATACGCATATTATTCTCATTCTTATTATTGATTTTTTTTCTTGGGAGTTTGGATCATAAACTGGCCTTTGCACATCTGTGAAAAATGAAAATGGCATTGCTGTTCTGAAATAATGGGAAGATTATTATAGACTGTTGACACTAAAGAAAGATCCTTGTGGAAGTAGAGTGGAAGTTTATAACTATTATTTTCTCATTTTCTTATGGACATGTGATGTACCAGTCCATTTTGTAGGTTGAGTATTCATTAGATAATTAGTTAGATTTATTTTATATTTTTTACACCTTACATGTTAAGGACTTGTAGAAGTAAGGTTAGGTTAGGTTAGGTTATGTTAGGTTAGGTTTATCTTAAAATATCTCTTAACTGCAGTTGCTTTTACTTGTATTTCTTATCATTTAGCTTATTTATCCGTTTTGGGTGACAGTTGTAAACAACCCTGTGGCAATTGTCGGAACAAGAACGATGTGTGGTTATGGGTGAAATATTAAATGGTACAGTTTTTTTTTTTTTTGTAGTGTCTGATGAAACTCAAGAAACTAGCAGTTTTGGAATTGGAGTTTCTTGAACATAAGTACTGCCAGTATCCCCCCCCCCCCAACTCCACCCCTCTCCCCCACAGATAAGAAGTTGAATTTGAAGCCCAATAGGTATTTGTTACAGAATGTCTGAATCCTTTTGCGTGTTCGTACACGGCTTTCTTGAATATCTGGAAATGTTTTCGCCCTGCTTGATAAACCATACATTATCTTCAAATTAATAATTATAGTAATCAGTATATTATATATATGAAACAGTATTGTTCTCATAGCTTTAAACGAGTTAACTATATTACAGATAATTAATATTAATACTTAATGGAATAAACATGCTGCAGGGTTGGTTTAGACCAATTCATTAACTTCTTTTTTTTTCAATTTTTATGGTGGTATATTTCTAAACGTTTATAAATATATACTATAATATAGTTGACAATCACAATTTACAGTAAAAATCTCATGCTTCGAATACGTTTAACTTCAGAGAGTTTGCAAGACAGATGCATTTTTAAAAACGTATTTTGAATGAGGTTTTTAATTGCAAATTGCCGTGCAACCTTGTAGGCTACCTATTAGGTGGGTACAAAGTGGAGTATCATTGCAGAAAATACGCAAGAAATTAAAACGTGGAAACAAAACAGGTTAAAAATGAATGTGCCGATAGAGAAAGTGTAAAAAAAAAAGTGCGAAACAAAATAGTGCTTGGGCGATTCATTGAAATTTTTTCTCGCTGTTACGTGTGTGACATATCACAAGGACCTCATTTATTTTTATACCTTTTGAGACAAACTAAAAAAAAAAAGCCACAAATGGTACATACGTGCCTTCCACAAGAGATTATCGGGAGGGCTTGATATCAGGACTTTCAAGATCATGCAACTTATTGAATTGAGGTGAGGCCAGCTGTATGCAGTTCTTAGGTACAAGGAATTTGACTTACGTTCTTCTCTTGTTCTTAATCTTAGTCTATGATATTGCTGCTTCAGAATTGAATTTATTGCCTGCATTCAGTGTTTAATTTTAATATTCTATCTGTGAAGTATACTTGCTCTTTGAATGAAAATAGTTCACTTTCTATTAGATAAAGTATGATATATTACCCTCTCGTATAAAATGTACTGTGGGTACTTTAATTCTTAGCTTGTGATAAAACTAACCTTCTATAGTATATATTGACCAATCACCTTCCTTTCTAGGGTGCGTTATTAACTTTGCACCCGAGAATTTGTTGTTGGTAATATTTCAGTGTCACACTTCATGATAGAATATGTCATCGGTCATACGTCGTAGTCATGCACATTTTTATAAAATTGCGAATGTCAATTTCATCCATTTCACAAAATGTTATCTATCGCGTTATCGTTTTCTGTACGCGTTTAAAAAGGGAAGGAAAAGAGAAAACTTGGCATGTATATGTATAAAATTTAATGAGAGTTGTGGTTTGTGATTTTGCTGCGTTATGTGACAGACTGCCAGATACTTGGTATTTATAAATTGAAATATTTGAACCAGGAATTAAATTAATCAAGCCACGTCCCAGCGACTTGATAGTACCGTATGACAATTATTTTTATTTTAACTTCTTATCTGTTAGTTTTTCATGCAGAGGAAATTATTAGTAAAATACTTTATTATTATTATCGTTGGTGATTTTATGGTTAACTTACGCCAGGTTTTTGTTGCTGTTGGCATGACAGTGGAATCTATGAAATATCACTGAAAGAATCATGGATGAAATGTTAAAAACAAATGGCGTCAGGTCTCGATTTTTATTAAAAATTTAACTTCAGTTAGATGAATAATAGTTTTTTTGGGACCAAAAGAACATTATTTGTGAAATCTGTGTTTTGTAAGAAAAAAAATGTGCATGACTATGTTAAATATTTTTATATCTGTCTTAAAGCAGGATATTGGCTTCGTACGTAGGAGGCGGAGCCATCTAATCACACTTCATGTACAATCAAAAATTAATCACTACTTCATACAGATAAGTGATTGCATTTATTCAGTTTCATCGCAGAGGGATTTCTTAATACCGACTGAAACGCTTACACAGAAATTAAGATCTACGATATGAACGCTCTGTTGCGATAAATGGTACCATAACTACAGATTTAATTTACAAAAACTGAAAAAAAATATGTATTCAAGGAAGAAGTCCAGCACAGTTTATATGCTGTTAACATGATGTATAAAGCAATTATTATCATAGGGAATTGTGCCTCTTATGTTAATGGGATCAATGAGACGAGTTTTTAACATTTCAGAACAACCCTACTCGCTGCGTAGTGTGGGTCGTACCAGATTTCATATTATCTGATATTTGCAGTGCTGTAATATAATTAATATTGCTACTATATTCATATCTTACAAACTACATCAACTACTTGTCTTGTATTGAATTGTGTGTTCACAGTGA